ACGTCGACTCCCAGAGGTCTCGAACCATTCCTCGGGACTGGCGTTTCATCCTGAGTCGATTTTGGACGGTCCCGAAGCCCGGTGAGAGCCCCCCGAGGCCGAAATGAGTGAAAAACCTCCCATAATGATTTTTGTCATGGCAGATCTGCCGTGCGTCCGATCTGCCTCTGCCGCCGCTGCTCTTGCTGCTGCCGCTGGCGCCGCTGCTGCTGCCGCGCCGCTCGTGCCGAGCGCGCCGCGGCCCCTTCTCTGCTGCAGGCATGTGCTATACAGTTGTGGATGCCACGACAATAGACACCCTAACAGTCCTATCATTGAATTTTAAATGTGCTTAGGATGTCGGACACATGTTCTAAGCATGTTTTTTTAACATGTTTAAAACATGTTTCAGACATCTGGAAATTATTTGGCAACATGCTTCCTCTCCATTGATCGTCCTCCACAAAGCTCGTGTCGAACGCGCCGCGGCCCCCTCTCTGCTGCAGGCATGTGCTAGACAGCCGTCGTGCCACCAATAGGGCACGCCGAGCAAGGAACGAAGAGGATGCCCGGCCACGGCAAGCATTGGCCACGAAGAGGTGCCCAGAGCTTCAGAGCCCCTCCTGGGCCCGAAGGGGTCATCACTTCAGCGTCTTGACCGCATGCTGCGCCATCCCCGCTGCTGCTGCAGCACAACAGAGGCGTGGAGCCACTGTCCATAAGAATCCAAGGCTTCCACTGGCAAGCGTCGTGATGATGTCCAGAATCACGACCTCATGAGAATTCGAGATGGTCCCGATCCATCTCGTTTGACGCGACTGCGCTGGACCGTGGCCAGTCTATGGTGCGCCCCGTTGCTTCTAGCGAACGCCACCGCAATCGCATGCCAACTGGTGCGATGCGGAAAACAGGCCATAGGCGTCGATCAGAAACAAGGAACACGTTCGAAGGAGAAAGAGGTGATCTTAACTTCGGTCTTATGTGGGGTCCAAACTGCGTCATCACGCGCAAGAGAAACGGAATGCGTGGAAACATGATGACGGCAGGAGGTGACCGGTAGCACACATAACCCAATACGGCCGAAAGCTCCTGGAAAGGCAAGAAGATGGCAAGCGCCGACACAAATCTGGGGAAACAGCAGACTGAACAATTTGCTCCAGCCTCATTGTGTATCGCCAGACGCGCGGGACGGGTCTGAGCCCCAGAAGCCTCTCGGAGGCCCCCTAAAGAGGCACCCGAGGGACACCCCCCCCATCCGAACAGGTATCCAAGAGGCCTGTGGCCCACAACCTGGGCACGGTGGTGGTGCCTCAACCATGCCCCCTGGCACGTTCAGGCGTGGTAGAATGCAACGTGCTGTCTGGTAGGGGTTTTGCCTTCTGCCCCCACCCCTTGCCAAAATTATACAACCAATAGCAAAAGAAAACAAATTACACAGGCGAGAAAACCCAATCGATGGATGGTTTGATATCGATAATCGACTGGGAACCCGGGACCCCGGAACCCACCGAACTCGTCCCAGAACCAATAACCAAGAACCGGGGAACCCGGAACCGGGAACCCAGCGGGCCACCAAAACGGCGGGACACTTTCGCCAACTCTTTCAATTTCGCTAGGACCCCTCCAGTCCTAGCACTGATTGGGGAAAAATTGGAGGTCCGCGCGGGTTTCTTGGATGTCCGTGGGGGCGCCTCTCCCTAGCGCGTGAAGCCGAGCCAGCGGCGGTGCCAGAGGCGCCGCCAGAGAGGGTCCAGAGCCGATCCAAGGAATTCGAGCGGGGCTCCAACAGTTTATGCTTATTGTCTTTTTTTCAATTCGGCGTTTCGACATTGGGCGGAAGGGGGGGGGAGGGGGTGGGCCTGGCTCCGGACCTCTGCTTAGTGCGGCTGTTTGGGACCGTGTGTCCTATGGGGGAGGGACCCCACCTGCTCGAAACAGGCGCCAAAAAACAGCAAAGATCTACTCCATGAGAGGGTGGGGGAGGGGGGGGTGCGAGGGCCCACGCCGATCGGCAAAACGATGAATTAAAACACCATCACTATGCCGTTGCTATGCCGTTGTGTCGTTTCTGAAAAGTGTCGCGTGCATTGTTCCCTTCTCCCCAGGCTTCCTGGGCGCCCGAACGCCTCCATGGAACCGTCCAGGGCTCTCCAGGGCTGCCGCGATGGCCCAGGACAGCCACCAAAGCCGCCAATATTGCCTAACATTTCCGCAATCCACATCCAGGAGCTCACAATGAGCACCCAACAGATCCCCAGGCACCGAGATAGCCGAAAAACATGATTGTCCCTACGTTTGTTCCACGTCGTGCGCTTCCCACGCCACTCTCTCGATTATGGGTCCTCTTGCGGCTTCCGGGCCCAGGATGGGCCGCAAGCTGGTGCCAAAGCGCCTCCAGAGGAACCCATGACGGTCCCAAGAGACGCCCCATACTCCACGCAGCCAATAGCGCCGCAGGGTGGCCCAAACAACTCCATGTCAGAGCGCCTCATGAAATAAAACATATGGCAACTGCCACATGTCCCGACACAGCAATGCAAAAACACTACAATCTGCCCTTATCATGAGGATGCGCGATAAGGATGCGGGGGCCTTGGAGGCCCATTTCGAAGCTTTTCAAACGGGGCGTGGCCAACGAAAGTGACCGAGGATGAGCCGAGGAGGCAAGGATGCCAGGGTACCATTGGGAAGGTTGTCCATCCGTGCTATGCGGGTTGCCTGTAACTGCCACATGTCCCGACGTCACCAGGGTGCGGTCTTCCGGCCCTCCAGATCGCCACAGGAGCGCCCCGAGAGACCCCAAGGGAGCTCCAACGGGCCCAAGCGCAGAAGGAAACGAGTGGGACTGCCCAAGACGGTCCGAAGGCAATCTCCAGCATGCCTCTGGATAGCCCCAAGCTTGTCCCAGGCAGCTCTAAGAGAGCTCCCAGAGGCTGAATGTTACTCGTGTTCCACCACGTGTTGAATGATCTTAGACTTCAATGTCATCGCCTTTTCGAGCTTCCGATTGCCCCAGACGGCCCAAGAGGCCTCAAGATCGGCCCGAGGGCTTCCCAGGACGGCCCCACAACGTCCCAAGAAGGCCCCAAGGCGGTACAAGAGGTCCCTGACGAGGACGCCAGAGGCCCCAGAGAGGCTCCAAGAGGGCGAATCCGAATCCCATGTCGGGCCCTTCCTCGAAAGATGGCACCCGAGACTGTAAGAAGGCCCCCAAGAGGCCCCCAGAGGCCCACCAAGACCCGTGAGGCCCCAGACCCCCCAAGATGCCCCGCGAGGCCCCCGCGAGCACGCAGGCAAGTGCCAGCGATGTCACAATACGCGCAGGCGGAACGAGCGAAGCGATCCGCCGCCCCACCGGGTACAGCGTGCGAGATCCCCGCCGCGTGGTCTGCACGCACTGTTGCCATGTTTCGCACTCGTTAACAACCGACAGCATCAGGCAGCGAGGTGGGGTTTCCCCAGGTAGCGGGTGCACCCCCTTGACAGTCCCTAGCTGGCTCAAGGACTGTCCAACGGCGGCCCGCTCGCTGTCCTGGCAGCTTGGTCATTGATCCCTATACTCGTCCGAAGAGCCCTCAAAACCACTACGAGGGTTCTCCCGGCGGCCTGCTCATTCGGCAGGCCCTGGGACCCCGGCTGCAGACTGGGCGTCCGCCGGCGGCCATCTGTAACTTCAGCTCACGCACGCCCTCGCACAGAGAACCTCTCGACGCCTCCGGGCGGAAAATGTGGCCTAGGCCCTCCTGGACAGTCGTTGGAGCCTACTGGAGCCCTCTTGGGCTCATTTGGCCTGCCCCAGAGGCCCTCTGGGGCCGTCTCGGACCCTTCCGAATTCCTCATCGAATCATGTTGACACCGAAAGATGTTTAACACCGTCAAACAACATTTGCATGTTGACGATGCTGGCTGTTTCGGTCTTCTCTTGGCGCCTCTTGGAGCTCTCTTGGAACTTGGAACTTCTTGTGACACTCTTGGGGCCTCTTCGGCCAAGTTGGAATATCTCCAAGGCCTCTCGGGCCGTCCTGAAGGCCTCTCGGTCCCATCTTGGACCGTCTGGCCGCCCTTTGGGCGCCCCCCTTGAGCCGTCTTGGGCGCGCCATGGGGGACTTCTGAGGCCCCTCAAAAAACCGGCGCAGCATCCTTCTTACCTGTCCGTATCCCTTTTCGGTTTCGTGCACGGTTTTCGATACGCCGGGGTGTCCTTTTCGGTACTGCTCGGAGCCTCCAGAGGCTTTCTTCAGGCCCTCTTGGGCCATGTTTGGCGTTCTTGGTTGGGCCATCTGGGGCTGGCTCGAGTCCCCCCTTGCCCCCTGGGATCCTCTCAGCGGACCCCGTCTTCCTCCACCGAGCCTCCCAAAGCCTCCACGTTCCCAAAAGCGTGGGGAGGCGACGGTCCCAAACCCTTGACGTCGTGACTTCTTCGCAACGCCGACCCCCAGAGGTCCGGGACGCAGAACTACAGCCGGGGAAACAGGCGGGACCTTCGGGTCAGAATGTTGAAAAAATCACATCAGAACCCAGACCCCGACGTCGTGTTTTTTCCACAACGCCAGCCCCCAGAGGTCTGGACCCCCTTCCCGAAATCGGTTTCTCGCCCAGACTCGTTTCTTGACGGTCCCGAGGCCTGGTGAGGGCCACCGGAGGCCGAGAATGGCGAAAGGCCTCCCGTCGCGATTGTTGTCACGACGCGAGGGGGTCTGGGGTGTCTGCCCGCTCCAGGGCGTTCAACTGAACCACGAGCCCCACCCCCCCGAAGGAAACCTCGGTCCCACTGGCCGACCCGCACACCCCATGTTGGGGACGGGTGCCGACTCCTCCGGGGCTCGCGGCACCCATCCCCCACCAAAGGAGGGGGGGGCGGTAGCTAATCCTAGTAAAGCCCCACGTCCCAATGAGTCTCATTGAGCATGGCCACCCCACTACCCTGCCCCAGCAGGGGTCAGGATCGTTCTGACGATGCTGACTCGCAGCCACGCCAGGGAGCGCCCGCATCCCGTCCGCACAGAGGCACGTCGGCAGTCCTGAGCGGCGTCGAAGGGCCAGTGTGCACGTGGTCGGCGGCCAGCGTCGCGCTGCCCGAGCAGGCAGAAGTCCTTTGCACCGGTGGGGCAGAAACAGTCAGCATCACATGGGGATCGGATCGGATCGGAATGTGCATCGCGCCGGGCCGCATGAGCACGGAACCGGATTCGAATCGGATCGGCTGCACCAGGAATCACAACATTGCCATCCAAGAGTCAAGCCATGTTGGACCGACGTAACATCGGAACCGATCTCGGACCGGGCCTACTGGAATCGACATCGAGTCGGATCGATCGGATATGAGCGGAGCCTACTGTGGGGGGTGATCAGGGTGATGGGGATCACGGCGCCTCAACGACCTCGCAGAGGGGAAGCAGAGGGAGGGAAGGATGATGATCCCTGCCAGCAAGGTCAAAGACACCATGCGCCGTCCGCTCCGGCTCTGGCCCGCCCACGGGCACGACACGTGGCGCTGCAAAGAAAGCGCGCTGCTCGAGGCAGAGCACCTCTGCAGGAAGAACGCCAACACATGAGCGGAACGGGTGCTGATGACCCCTGGCACGGACCACATAGCCATCCATGAATCGTGCAAGAGGACAACCATACCTTCACTCAGAAGCAGGATGATGACAATAATACTACGAATGTGACTCCGAAGAACAATAATGAGCGCGGGAGAGGGAGCAAGACAAATGTGGCCCGGATATATCGCGTCGGAGGATCGTGCCGTACAGCCGATGCGTCTGAGCCGTCGGCGTGGAGAAAATCCACCTCCACATCGAGGCGCATCGCCGATACATTGGAGACTAGAACCACGCGCGCGCTTCGCGCGCGCTTAGGTTCTGTCGAGTCACAGACCCAGGAATCGTTGCGAGAAGAAATTGGTGACGCGAAGCGTCTTGGGGGCGTCCTTGGACGTCTGGGGTCTCCTGGGGCCTCTTGAGGGGCCTCCTGGGGGCCTCCTGGCGGCCTCTTGGGGCGGAAGGCTCGAGCTTGCGGTTCGTGGTCCCCCTCTGGGCCCCCTCTTGGGCCCGTCTTGGGGCCCTCTTGGGCCATCTTGGGCGCCTCTTGGGCCGTCTTGGGGCCCTCTTGGGCTGTCCTGGGGCCCTCTTGGAAGCTTCTTGGGCCGTCTTGGGGCGGTCTTGGGCGCCTCTTGGGCCGTCCTGTAACGTCGGAAAGCCCAAAAGACAACTTTGTTGAAAATGTACGTTTTACGAAGGGAATGGGCCAATTTTTGCGTCTAGGGGCCCTCTTGGGACGCATGTTGGAGGCTTCTTGGGGCCTCTTGGGGGCGTCCTTGGACGTCTGGGGTCTCCTGGGGCCTCTTGAGGGGCCTCCTGGGGGCCTCCTGGCGGCCTCTTGGGGCGGAAGGCTCGAGCTTGCGGTTCGTGGTCCCCCTCTGGGCCCCCTCTTGGGCCCGTCTTGGGGCCCTCTTGGGCCATCTTGGGCGCCTCTTGGGCCGTCTTGGGGCCCTCTTGGGCTGTCCTGGGGCCCTCTGGGAAACTTCTTGGGCCGTCTTGGGGCGGTCTTGGGCGCCTCTTGGGCCGTCCTGTAACGTCGGAAAGCCCAAAAGGCGACTTTGTTAAAAATGTACGTTTTACGAAGGGAATGGGCCAATTCTTGCGTCTAGGGGCCCTCTTGGGACGCATGTTGGAGGCTTCTTGGAGCCTCTTGGGGGCGTCCTTGGACGTCTGGGGTCTCCTGGGGCCTCTTGAGGGGCCTCCTGGGGGCCTCCTGGCGGCCTCTTGGGGCGGAAGGCTCGAGCTTGCGGTTCGTGGTCCCCCTCTGGGCCCCCTCTTGGGCCCGTCTTGGGGCCCTCTTGGGCCATCTTGGGCGCCTCTTGGGCCGTCTTGGGGCCCTCTTGGGCTGTCCTGGGGCCCTCTGGGAAGCTTCTTGGGCCGTCTTGGGGCGGTCTTGGGCGCCTCTTGGGCCGTCCTGTAACGTCGGAAAGCCCAAAAGACAACTTTGTTGAAAATGTACGTTTTACGAAGGGAATGGGCCAATTTTGCGTCTAGGGGCCCTCTTGGGACGCATGTTGGAGGCTTCTTGGGGCCTCTTGGGGGCGTCCTTGGACGTCTGGGGTCTCCTGGGGCCTCTTGAGGGGCCTCCTGGGGGCCTCCTGGCGGCCTCTTGGGGCGGAAGGCTCGAGCTTGCGGTTCGTGGTCCCCCTCTGGGCCCCCTCTTGGGCCCGTCTTGGGGCCCTCTTGGGCCATCTTGGGCGCCTCTTGGGCCGTCTTGGGGCCCTCTGGGAAACTTCTTGGGCCGTCTTGGGGCGGTCTTGGGCGCCTCTTGGGCCGTCCTGTACCGTCGGAAAGCCCAAAAGGCGACTTTGTTAAAAATGTACGTTTTACGAAGGGAATGGGCCAATTCTTGCGTCTAGGGGCCCTCTTGGGACGCATGTTGGAGGCTTCTTGGGGCCTCTTGGGGGCGTCCTTGGACGTCTGGGGTCTCCTGGGGCCTCTTGAGGGGCCTCCTGGGGGCCTCCTGGCGGCCTCTTGGGGCGGAAGGCTCGAGCTTGCGGTTCGTGGTCCCCCTCTGGGCCCCCTCTTGGGCCCGTCTTGGGGCCCTCTTGGGCCATCTTGGGCGCCTCTTGGGCCGTCTTGGGGCCCTCTTGGGCTGTCCTGGGGCCCTCTTGGAAGCTTCTTGGGCCGTCTTGGGGCGGTCTTGGGCGCCTCTTGGGCCGTCCTGTAACGTCGGAAAGCCCAAAAGCAACTTTGTTGAAAATGTACGTTTTACGAAGGGAATGGGCCAATTTTTGCGTCTAGGGGCCCTCTTGGGACGCATGTTGGAGGCTTCTTGGGGCCTCTTGGGGGCGTCCTTGGACGTCTGGAGGCCATCTTCAGCATCTCGGAGCCCTCTTGGAGGCCTCTTGGAAGTTTCTTGGGCCGTCTTGGGCGCTTCTTGGGCCGTCTTGTCTGACTGGGGAGGCCTCCGGCAAGCCCCGACGAGCCTCCGGGCCCCCCGGGGTGCACATTTGTGGTCGAGGTCCCGGCCCCGGGCCCCCGGACCCGGTGCGCCGTTATATGTATATGTGGCGCGATCCTCCGACCCCATCGGGTCGGACCAGGTTTGTGAGGCCTGCTCGAACAGAACACGCGGCAACCAGACTGTGTATCCATCGAGACCCAGCTCCGAAGACCGACACACCGCGCGCGCAAACAAGCAACGACGAATATACGTCGGAATGGACAGCCCTGCCGAGCTGGATGAGAAGATGGGCGAAACGGCGAACGATGGGATCGTGGGGAAACCAACAGGTGCCGATACCGCTTACTCCCCGGACCTCTCCCAGGGTGCGCTCTGACCAGAATCTCGAGGCGAACCCAGCCTTGGCGACGAGGGCCTCCCAGGAGGCCCAGGGAGGGGGACAACGAGGGAAGGGCAGCGGTGTGCCCCCCCCCGCCCCCCCACACAAATTTGGAAAACTTGGGCCGAGGACGGCCCAGACGCCTGGCGACGCGAGCCGCTCGCAGCGAGAGACCTCTGGCCTCCGGCCTTCGGTCGGGCATGTCCCCCCACAGGCGGATTGTCGACGAAGCGCAAAACATACTTGAATAGTAAAGAAGATCCACAAATACCAGAAAAATCGCCCCCCAGATTATTTCTCGATAATGTTTGCATGCTCCTCCTGTAGAGGGACACGCCCGACTTACCTCTGGCCCTCCCCTGGGGCCCGCTGCTCGCCCCGAGCGGTGGTCTGCGTGGCTGCCGGGGGCAGAGGAGCGCGCCCCTCGGGCACCCGAGCGGGTGCTGCCAGGGAGTGCCCCTGGGCCCTGGCCGCCTGGCCCAGGGGCCCAAGGTTTGGCGGCGAGCGAGGGGGGGGGGGAAGCGCGAAGGAGAATCGGCGGTGGACGAGCCCCCCTGTAGTTCACCACCCTTTAGTGAAAAAAAGGCCAAGGACCAAAAAACCGACGGACCTGGACCCGCAAAAATAACGGCCGCGACGCCCTCTCGCGAACCGAAAACGGGCAATTCACTAATCGACGTGTCAGGGTAACTAGGAGGTCTGTCAACCTCCGATAGAAGGCCTTCTCAGAAGGCGCCGGGACATCTCAGAAGCCCTCCCGCCTTCCGACAAATTTTGTCTGACTTCGGGGGAGGCTTAGGGAACTTCTCGGAAGGCTGGGGGACTTCCAAACCTTCTGAGAAGGCCTTCTCGGACCTCTCCCGGAGTGCGTTCTGGCCAGGATTTCGAGGCGAATCCAACGGTGGCGACGAGGGCCTCCGAGGAGGCCCGAAAAGGGGAAAACGAGGGGAGGGTAGAGGTATGGGTACCTTTTCCTCCGCTGATCGACGGCCAAGAAAACAGCGGGCAAGGCCGAGGGGGAGTTCCTGGGCGGCAGCGAGCTGCCCGCAGTCATGCAGTCCAGCGCCGGCGGCGGGGACACGGAGCCCAGCCGCGCCAGGCCGGGCACGGAGGCGGCTGGGAGGTGCGGCTGTTTCGCTGCGAACAGGCCCCCCCCGGGCCCACCCCCCGCGCTCACCACCACCTAAGCCTGCCTGCCTCCCTCCCCGCCTCCACCTCCACAAGTGCACAATCTGAATACTACTCTCCTCTCTCCTCCGAAGACCCCGAGTGCGTAATTAACCTGCCCTCCTCCGCGCATGTCTTGAAAAACATAGGATGCCCCAAAAAGAATATATTGTATTTGTAGTCTCGCTCCAAACGTCTTCGGAATTTCCAGAATGGCGCTCCCGCTACTCCCGCTACATCGTTGGCTCCAACTTCTGGCTCTCGGCCCTTCCAAACAATATTCCCGCTGCAGCGCTTTCATTGCTGCGGATTTTCCAAGTCGTGTTCCTTCTACAGCATTGGCTCTCAATTTACGCTTCCACTCTTTCTTAACCGTCCCTTTACATGTTTCGTCTTGCGTCAAGTCTGGTTTCCCTCAGAAGATGTTGTCTCAATGAGTCGTGTTCTCGACCAGCACTGGCTCTCATTTTACGCTTCCGGCGCTTCTACACCGTCCCTTCAAATTTCTCGTCCTGCGTCATGTGGGCGATTTCGGAAACCCTGAACCCAAAAACGTGCTCATCTCTTGGGGGGGGCATGTCTTACTTCCGCCACATTCCGCCGCCCTTCCGCCGGCTTCCGCCGGCGGAGGCGGCCTCGTGCTACTTCCGCCGACCCTTCGCCGCCCTTCCGCCGTCTTCCGCCGAGGAAGATGGCAACTCCTTCGATCCTCGGAGGCAAAGACCTTGTTGGAACGCCCCATGCCTGGTTTCCATCAACACCTGTCGTCGAACGGAATCGTGTTCTCGACCCGACGGCGCTCCGCCGTGCTCTTCTACGCCGCCCTGCGCCGTGCTCTTCTAAGCCGTGCACTACCGCGCACCTCCCACCCTCTCGGGATCACTGACATCTGACTGTGCGAACAGACAGGAGACGTTAGGACCCAATGGTAAGGGGGTCGGGAGGGAGGGGTAGAACGTCAGATAAGACGCTTGCGCACCTATCTTGCCCACCTCGCCTCACCCTCCCATAACCCCCTTCGCGCCTTGTCCCCGAGGAAACAGCTAACCCGGGTGCACTCTTGCCAGGCCAGGGGGGCCGAAGACGCCCCGCCGGCGCTGAAAAAGCCGGTGAAGAGCGCCGTGACAGAACGGAATCAGACCCTCGGAGATGTCGTGCTGGTGCTCTCCACTCGAACTCCCCCGGGGGGAACGACAAGATGCCGATGCTGCACCCCCCAACCGAGCTCTCGCGGATCAGGCCATGGCGACGAGGGACGGGCTGCGGTGGCGGCACTTCTCCTCCCGGATCCTCGGAAGCCGGTTATCCTCCTCCTCCTCCTCCTCCTCCCCCTACCCCTCCCCCTCCCCCTCCTCCTCCTCCTCCTCCTCCTCCTCCTCCTCCTCCTCCTCCTCCTCCTCCTCCTCCTCCACGTTCCTGGGCACCCGGGACCCTGCGGCCGCTCGGGGCGATCCCCGGGCACCCCCGCAGTGTGCTCAGCGAGGCGGGTGCAGGCGCCGGAGGAGGCGTCCCCGAGGCTGGACGGGCCCGCGGACCATCGACGAGGGCGCCCGAGAACCTGGAGCCTCGACGCCGTTGGTCGGCATGCGAGGTCCTGATACTGTCAGACCGCGGTCCCCCCAAGTCCCGACCTTTTCCCTGACACAGTCGGGGTTCTGACCGACGGAACCCTGAATGAGGAACGAGGCCCCTTTCTTCCCTAAGTTGAGATTCGACTTCCCCTCAACAGTCTAGGGGAAACCTGAGGCAAACTGCAAAATAATTAAGGAGCACTGAGCCCCTCCTAAACGGAAAGGGTTCCGTCGTCAGCGCCCTGACTGTAAGAAATAAAAGTATCACCAACACTTTGGGAGGGGACCTGAAATAGGAGGGCCGCAAACATTAAGGATGGGTGTTTTCCATGCAGATGTATGAAAACCAAACCGCCCAAAGGTACTGTCCCTGATGCGAAGGCGGAGGCCTAAGTGAGGCCACGTCTTGATTGTGTTATCGAGGTTAGGGGTTCTTTTGTTCGCGATGATTCCCCAATGCCAGTGTTTGGTCCGGTCCTGAGCGTGGCTCACCCGCCCCCCGGGCCTCCGTGCCTGCGCCCTCCATCATGCCTTGCGCTATCTCGCCTCCTGTGCCCAAGTCGTTTCCACTGCAACCCAGTGCAAGCGTGATCGCGACGGGTCCTGTGGGAAGCCGCCGACTTACAAATGTCATCCCGAGTCGTGTTTGTTGACGGTCTCGCGGCCCGGTGAGGGCCCCCAGGAGCAGGAAAAAAACCCAAACACCCCGTCGCGTTTTTGCTGCAGAACGGGAGCAACACTGGAACGTTTCCCCTGGCCTCCTTCGTTGGCAACGCACAGGAGTCTCAAATACCATCTTGTTGGCCCTTGCGAATCGACGCTCAACGCTAAATCGACGCCAAGCGACGCCACATTGGTGCTATCACATCGACTGCCAGACGCTAATCGACGCTCCTGCACTCTAAATTGGAGGCGCGCATAAGCGGGTGGAGGGAGGAGGAACGGCTTCTTAGAAGGAGGCTGCTTCGTAGAAGACACCAGCTCCACATCTAGAGATGCTCGCGCCTTCCAAGAAACAGGGGTGCTTCTGACAAGCCCTCCCCCCTCCCCCTCCCTCTTCGCGTGGCCGATTTACAAGGGTACACAAGGCGTAAATGATTTGCTACAAATGGATGCCTCCTAGATGGGGTCGGAGGCTCGCACCGCATCGCCGATATATATATATATATATATATATATATATACATTTATATATATATATATATATAAAGAGAGATCGGCAATGCATCGGCGATGCATTGGCGATGCACTGGCGACATCAGCGCAATCGGCGCTGAGAAAATCGGGATCCACATCGAGCCGCATCCCCGATGCATCGGCGATGCGGCGCGATCCCCCAACCCCAGCTACTCCGACCCCATCTGGGAGGCCCAAACTTACGAGGGTATACAAGGATTCCATGCTTTGCTACCGATAGAGGCCTCCTAGATGGGGTCGGAGTAGATGGGTTCGGAGGATCGCGACGCGTCGCCGATGCATCGGCGATTATCGGCGATGCATCGGCAACGCCAGCGATGAGAAATTCGGGGCCCCCATCCAAGCGCATCGCCAATGCATCGGCGATGCATCGGCGATGCGGCGCGATCCTCCAACCCCATCTGGGAGGCCTAGAGACTCACGAGGGCGGGGGGAAGTGAGAATGGGCGGGCCTTCTCAGAAGGCTCTGAAGTCCCCCCGCCTTCTGAGAAATTTTCGTTGCCTTCACCGCAGACACAGACAAGGTGTCAGAAGGGGCGAGGGCTTCTGAGAAGTCCAGCCGCCTTTTCAGAAGGCCTTCTCCTTCTCACTTCCCCCCCTCGCTCGCCGCCGAACCAAAGCCTCCCTGCTCCACCCAACGCGAACGTCCTGGGCCCAGCTCCAAAGCTCGAGTAGGGGATCGGCTATAGAATTGATGTACCCCAAACTTTAATTGTGCGTCAAATCCATCAAATCCATGACCACAATGCGTAGAATGCTAGTAGATCTACGAACATTATGCGCATGATTCACGTAGAACATCAATCTGGGGCTAAATAAAGTCTGTAGTCGACCCCATACTCGACAAGCCTTCCCACCCCAACCCCGACGCAGAAGTCCTGGGCCCAGGCGCGCAGGCTGCCGCGGCGCCGTCGGTGACCCCGGATTCGCGCTGCTCGCGGCTGGAGAAGGTGAGCCCGAGCGGGCCGTGCCCGGCAGCGGCGTAGCGGGGCCAGGCCGAACAGGGCTCCTGCATAGATAGAGGCCTCCTAGCCGGGTTCCGAGTAGATGAGGCTGGTGGATCGCGCTTCATCGCCGATGCAGCGGCGATGCATCGTCGATGCGGCGCGATCCTCCGATCCCATCAACTCGGAACCCGGCTAGGAGGCCTAGCATAAAGGAGAGAGCAGAAGGCACATGTACCTCAGCAGGCAACTGCGGGGAGGTCTTCGTCGGAAGGATGAAGGAGAATTCGGCCCCACTGGGGGGCTACAACGCCGGATTCGGCTGCGGATTGAAAGGGATTGAACCTGATGACGCGGATTTGCGGTAGGTTCGCGCGGCGTCGGCGCGCGCGAAATTTTGTCACCGCGTCGATCGTTCAACCTTTAATCGATCGAGGCCCCGAACGTTCCAGGTGGAAATCAGTCGGGCCCAGAAGCGTCACCGTGTCCATCGGTGCTACCGCGGCGCAAAATTCAACCTTGAGCGCCTTCGCCGGCGTCGCCGACGCGCCAACGCCGCATGAACCTACCGCATGCGGCATTAAGCCGCCTTAAACGGGATTTCGGACCAGAGATCCGGGATCGGTTTTTCAATACGGCGGTGTTTCCTCGATCTCGGCTCCCGGGGCCCGTGCTCGGGCCCAGGGACCATCAAACATGGATCGGGGCGGATGACCAACCTGGGGGGAAGGGGTCGGGACCGCTGGGGCCGCGGATTGAACAAGTCATCTCGGCAGATGTCTGGGGCACGCACATGCACCGATCCTGGGCTGGTACATCGTGAGCCCAGGACTGGTGCATACGCCATCCTGGCTCGCCCAGGGAGGCATGTTCACCGATCCTGGGCCCAGGATCGGCCTGGCCAGACTCGGTGCACGTGAAGATGCTTCTTCGCCTGACTGCAGGGAACAGAAACACAGCCCGTCGCAGCCAGCTGAGCGCTGGGCTCCGAATGAGCTGCTCGAATGCCACTGGAGCCGCCCGAACACGGACCTGACCAATCAACCGTGGAACTGACGGCTCAAGGCTACAATGAATCAATCTAGTCCCGATCTTGGGCTGGTTTCCATTGCCCACGCAGTGTCTGGGAGGCCATACCTGGGAGGTCTTCGCAAGAACGATGCAGGGCTGCCAAGCTCGATTGAGGGGCCATCAAATGACGCCCCAAATCAAGCCGGATTCGGATGAACATCGGTATGAAAAACGCGACTTTGCCGGACAAGGCCGGCTTTCGACCACGGATCTGACAGCCCAGCACTGATGCTCAACTGAACCTCTCAGGAGTTACATCCGAAGATGATGAGCAATGCAAGTACCCCGAATCCTTTCGGAGGGGACCAAAGCTAGGAGGACCAAAAACATTAGGAATATAGGGGGTCTGTTCTGCAGGTGCATCGGACAACACCGCCCAGGTCTGTTGCAAGAACGGGCACCTACGCTAGGCTACATCTTCATCGTGTTATTGGGGTCAGGGTTCTTTTGGCCTCGATGACAAGAGAGGGGTCTGGCCCTTGAGAGACGGGCTCCTGGGAGCATCTCGCCGTCCTGTGAGCCCCTGGGCCCTCACCGCGGGCGCACGGGGGCGTTCAAGAAAAACGGCACGCGAGGGAGAGCCACTGCCAGGGAAGGCCCCCTTCGGGTCTGGGATGCGTTTCCTTCAGGTCCCCTCCGCCTTCAAGTCGAGCAGGGTATCTACTACAGAATTGATTGAGCCCAGAGAACAGATTTTCGAATCGAGTAATACGCAGACTGCGTAGATAGACAAACTTGTTTCGCATTAGTCAGAGATTCGACAAGCAGATCAGTCTCGGGCTAAATCAATTATGTAACCGATCCCCTGGTCGATCAAGGAGACTTGATCGCAGATCTTCCGCACGCTGCTGCCATCTCTGGGTCGAGATGACTGAAGTACCCCACCAGAGGAACCAGTCTCGGCGCTGACCTTTGCGCACCCTGTGATTACCATCAGTTCGGGCCAGTCTCCCTACAGGGGGAGTTTGGGCGGAAAAACAAACATAGTCAAACATAGTGCAACGCATATATAACAACAGGCGGATAACAAAAAAACAGCACCAAAAAAAACGTCCCCAGACTATTGTTTGCCAATTTTTGGATATTCCTCCTGTGAAACGCCCGACTTGATCGCAGATCTTCCGCACGCTGCTGCCATCTCTGGCTCGAGATGACTGAAGTACCCCACCAGCGGAACCAGTCTCGGCGCTGACCTTTGCGCACCCTGTGATTACCATCAGTTCGGGCCAATCTCCCCTACAGGGGGATTTTGGGCGGAAAATCAAACATAGCCAAACATAGTGCAACGAGTATATAACAACAGGCGGACAAAACCAAATCAGCACCAACAAAAACGTCCCCAGACTATTGTTTGCCTATTTTTGAATATTCCTCCTGTGAAACGCCCGACTTGATCGCAGATCTTCCGCACGCTGCTGCCATCTCTGGGTCGAGATGACTGAAGTACCCCACCAGCGGAACCAGTCTCGGCGCTGACCTTTGCGCACCCTGTGATTACCATCAGTTCGGGCCAGTCTCCCTACAGGGGGATTTTGGGCGGAAAATCAAACATAGCCAAACATAGTGCAACGAGTATATAACAACAGGCGGACAAAAAAAATCAGCACCAACAAAAACGTCCCCAGACTATTGTTTGCCTATTTTTGAATATTCCTCCTGTGAAACGCCCGACTTGATCGCAGATCTTCCGCACGCTGCTGCCATCTCTGGGTCGAGATGACTGAAGTACCCCACCAGCGGAACCAGTCTCGGCGCTGACCTTTGCGCACCCTGTGATTACCATCAGTTCGGGCCAGTCTCCCTACAGGGGGAGTTTGGGCGGAAATCAAACATAGTCAAACATAGTGCAACGCATATATAACAACAGGCGGATAACAAAAAAAATCAGCACCAAAAAAACGTCCCCAGACTATTGTTTGCCAATTTTTGGATATTCCTCCTGTGAAACGCCCGACTTGATCGCAGATCTTCCGCACGCTGCTGCCATCTCTGGCTCGAGATGACTGAAGTACCCCACCAGCGGAACCAGTCTCGGCGCTGACCTTTGCGCACCCTGTGATTACCATCAGTTCGGGCCAGTCTCCCTACAGGGGGATTTTGGGTGGAAGCTCGAACATAGTCAAACATAGTGCAACGAGTATATACCAACAGGCGGATAACAAAAAAACAGCACCAACAAAACGTCCCCAGACTATTGTTTGCCTATGTTTGAATATTCCTCCTGTGAAACGCCCGACTTGATCGCAGATCTTCCGCACGCTGCTGCCATCTCTGGCTCGAGATGACTGAAGAACCCCACCAGCGGAACCAGTCTCGGCACTGACCTTTGCGCACCCTGTGATTACCATCAGTTCGGGCCAGCCTCCCTACAGGGGGAGCTTGGGCGGAAAAACAAACATAGTCAAACATAGTGCTACGAGTATATAACAACAGGCGGACAAAAAAAAATCAGCACCAAGAAAAACGTCCCCAGACTATTGTTTGCCTATGTTTGAATATTCCTCCTCTGAAACGCCCGACTTGATCGCAGATCTTCCGCACGCTGCTGCCATCTCTGGATCGAGATGACTGAAATACCCCACCAGCGGAACCAGTCTCGGCGCTGACCTTTGCGCACCCTGTGATTACCATCAGTTCGGGCCAGTCTCCCTACAGGGGGAGTTTGGGCGGAAAATCAAACATAGTCAAACATAGTGCAACGCATATATAACAACAGGCGGATAACAAACAAAAATATCAGCACCAAAAACATGTACCCAGACTATTGTTTGCCAACTGTTGGATATTCCTCCTGTGAAACGCCCGACTTGATCGCAGATCTTCCGCACGCTGCTGCCATCTCTGGCTCGAGATGACTGAAGTACCCCACCAGCGGAACCAGTCTCGGCGCTGACCTTTGCGCACCCTGTGATTACCATCAATTCGGGCCAATCTCCCTACAGGGGGATCGTGGGCGGACAATCAAGCATAGTCAAACATAGTGCAACGAGTATATAACAACAGGCGGACAAAAAAAACAGCACCAAAAAAACTGTCCCCAGACTATTGTTTGCCTATGTTTGAATATTCCTCCTGTCAAACGCCCGACTTGATCGCAGATCTTCCGCACGCTGCTGCCATCCCTGGGTCGAGATGACTGAAGAACCCCACCAGCGGAACCAGTCTCGGCACTGACCTTTGCGCACCCTGTGATTACCATCAGTTCGGGCCAGTCTCCCTACAGGGGGATTTTGGGCGGAAAATCAAACATAGTCAAACATAGTGCAACGAATATGTAACAACAGGCGGACAAAAAAAAAATAGCACCCAAAAAAACGTCCCCAGAGTATTGTTTGCCTATTGTTGAATACTCCTCCCGTGAAGCGCCCGACTTGATCGCAGATCTTCCGCACGCTGCTGCCATCTCTGGGTCGAGATGACTGAAGTACCCCACCAGCGGAACCAGTCTCGGCGCTGACCTTTGCGCACCCTGCGATTACCATCAATTCGGGCCAGTCTCCCTACAGGGGGAGTTTGGGCGGACAATCAAGCATAGTCAAACATAGTGCAACGCATGTATAACAACAGGCGGATAACAAAAAAATCAGCACCAAAAAAACGTACCCAAATTGTTTGCCAATTGTTGAATATTCCTCCTGTGGAACGCCCGACTTGATCGCAGATCTTCCGCACGCTGCTGCCATCTCTGGGTCGAGATGACTGAAGTACCCCACCAGCGGAACCAGTCTCGGCGCTGACCTTTGCGCACCCTGTGATTACCATCAGTTCGGGCCAGTCTCCCTACAGGGGGTTTGGGGCGGAAAATCAAACATAGCCAAACATAGTGCAACGAGTATATAACAACAAGCGGGCAAAACAAATCAGCACCAAAAAAGTCCCCAGACTATTGTTTGCCTATTTTGAATATTCCTCCTGTGAAACGCCCGACTTGATCGCAGATCTTCCGCACGCTGCTGCCATCTCTGGGTCGAGATGACTGAAATACCCCACCAGCGGAACCAGTCTCGGCGCTGACCTTTGCGCACCCTGTGATTACCATCAGTTCAGGCCAGTCTCCCTACAGGGGGAGTTTGGGCGGGAAATCAAACATAGTCAAAAATAGTGCAACGAGTACATAACAACAGGCGAACAAAAAAAAACAACACCAAAAAAACATCCCCAGACTATTGTTTGCCTATTTTTGAATACTCCTCCCGTGAAGCGCCCGACTTGATCGCAGATCTTCCGCACGCTGCTGCCATCTCTGGGTCGAGATGACTGAAGTACCCCACCAGCGGAACCAGTCTCGGCGCTGACCTTTGCGCACCCTGTGATTACCATCAGTTCGGGCCAGTCTCCCTACAGGGGGATTTTTGGGCGGAAAATCAAACATAGCCAAACATAGTGCAACGAGTATCAGCACCAAAAAAAACGTCCCCAGACTATTGTTTGCCTATTTTTGAATATTCCTTCTGTGAAACGCCCGACTTGATCGCAGATCTTCCGCACGCTGCTGCCATCTCTGGGTCGAGATGACTGAAGTACCCCACCAGCGGAACCAGTCTCGGCGCTGACCTTTGCGCACCCTGTGATTACCACATGAGAACAGACTGAAGGGGCTCTGGGACACACAAATAAATAGACGCAGATAACAGGAATCCCCATATGCTCTCACATGTTCTGGGTTATTGTTTTCCCCCCCACTTCCCATATTCCCATATTTTCAAGGGAATCGACGAATAACTATGTCTGTGTTTGTTCCCCTCCTGACAGACGAGGGACGGGTTGGGAGGTAATTCATGGGAAGGGGCCATCGTGAGAACGACAAAATGCATGACGATCGCAAGGGCTACCAAGCCGCATTCAAGCCAGGTTAAGTCGAGGGCTGAGCCAAACTAGGCAGGTTGGTTAGAATTGGATTCGGCCAGATTTCGACAAGGGAAGCCCGATGCTAAAGTCAACTTCTCAGAGCTTACAACCAAGGGCGAGGGAGCATTGTACCATTTCTGGCAACTTTTGGGGCCGATGGGGAGGGAAGATGTGGATGGAAGAGTCCCAACCATATGATGTCCGAATGTTTTCTATACGGAGTCCCTGGACATACCGACCCGTTCCCCTGCCCTGGGCCAAAATTTGACCCCGAGTCGTTTTTAACGGTCCCGGGGCCTGGTGAGGGCTCCAAAGGCCGAAAACTGTCAGAAACAGTCCGTCTTGATTCTGGTACGACGCGATCACGTCTGGGAAGAGAGACGGACGAGAACGAGGAACGACGAGGAGGGCCCTCATAGGCCGAAACCAACCCAAAACCTCCCCTTCCGTGTCCGGCGTTGCACATTCCTGGATGGGACCTCGTGGAGGAGAAGGCTACGAAGGGGGCTCGATCGAAGGTGGGCCGATCGCCCGATCTTTCCCGGCGCGGCTGGGACTCCGCGTCGACACGAGCGCAGGCGCAGAGGCCAAAAGTTGCGCTCTCGAGAGATCGTGGGCGCAAGAGTGCCGATTCCCTCGACACGGACGAAGGCACAAGGCACACGGCTGGAGCTCCGCAGAGGCGCCACAGAGGAGGGCGATAAGCAATAAAAGTACCCCCTAATTCTTCGGGAGGGGGCCCAAGTTCAGAGGATCAACAACATCAGGGATGGTTGTTTGGCAGATATCCAACACGAAACCACCCACACGCTGAGGAAGAATTCTAAACACCGGTAACCTAAGTTAGGGCACGAGCTCATTGTGCTATGATGGTTAGGGGTTGTACTCTGCTTGATGAAACTGCGGGGACAGCGAGGTTCCACAACCACATCGAGGAAGCAACCTTGGAGGATGTCTTCCGCATGCAAAGAAGCAACGACACGAGATTCGTACTCTTTGTGGTCGATGTGGCGTCCCAGGACGACCAGATCGACCACAACCACAACCACGGTGCTCATGTCGAGGTCGGTGGGCTTTCCCCCGATGGGCCCTCCCGAAAAAACACTTAAGAGTGGTTGTGAGTATTTGTTGAGCCCAAAGGAGCGTTCGGGCTCCTGAGGTTGCCAGGAGGCTGCCACCACAAAAAATCTGGGATCATGTGCCCCCTGTGGAGACTCCCCACTGTCTGGGTGTTGGTGCCACTATCCAGGCTTCCAAAAGACCGATGCGACGCTGCAGAATGAGCCGTACAGATGTGAGGCACACCGCGATCGTTCTCGGGATGGTCTGGGTCGACCTTCAAAAGAGTTGCCTTGCACCGTGATCTTCGTTGGGGCCGGAGAGACGCCTGGGCGAATGCTCTGGAGACTCACTCCAATCGCACATGCCAGCCACTCTCGCTCGGGAATTGATCCACATCGTGTCGGGGGTCGGGCCCGGGCTCGTGTTTGCTCTCGCCCTACCCCGGTTCCACCGTGGTGGAAGTGCGCAATGAATTTGACGGTCCACGGAGTCGGTGGATCGATCTGCCACTCACACACACACACGGAAACTCCAGTCGCGAAAACAATGAGCAGCCCCTGGATGGACAAAGCAAGTACATAGGGCTGGTTGGATGGCACCGATTGCACTTCTTCTGCTGGATGATACTGTGGGATGCGCTACTATTCAGATCTACCCACATGGCTCCACCTCCTCCCCCTCCTCCTCCTCCTCCTCCTCCTCCTCCTCCTCCTCCTCATCATCATCATCATCATCATCATCATCATCATCATCATCATCATCATCATCATCATCATCATCATCATCATCATCGTCATCCTCATCCTCATCCTCATCCTCATCCTCATCCTCATCCTTATCCTCCTCCTCGCCCTCATCCTCATCCTCATCGTCATCCTCATCCTCATCCTCATCCTCCTCCTCCTCATCATCATCCTCATCATCATCCTCATCATATCATCTTCCTCCTCCTCCTCCTCCTCATCCGCATCCTCAACATCATCAGCATCATCTTCCTCCTCCTCCTCCTCCAACTCCTCATCATCATCCTGATCCTCATCATCCTCATCGTCCTCATCCTCATCGTCCTCATCCTCATCCTCATCCTCATCCTCATCATCATCACCATCATCATCCTCATCCTCATCCTCATCCTCATCCTTATCTTCCTCCTTCTCCTCCTCCATATCCTTCTTATTATTATTAGTATCATGAATTATTATCATTATCCTTATCATCATCATCATCATCCTCCTCCTCATCATCCTCCTCCTCCTCATCATCGTCATCATCCTCATCATCCTCCTCATCCTCATCCTCATCCTCATCCTCATCTTCCTCCTCCTCCTCCTCATCATCATCCTCATCATCATCCTCCTCATCCTCATCCTCATCCTGGATCCACCCACGTGGCTCCCGCAGCCCCGAAACGACCTCACGCACCCCATCCACGGAACGTGGCAGCATCCGAGCGCGCACTCCTCCGGCCGCACGAACATAGATATGCGCGCTCCGCGACTCGCAAAGTAACAATTTTCGCGAATAGCCTCGACCCGCCGCGGGGGACTTACGATACATGGCATCGAGACACACAGGTGTGTCTTCGGACATCTGCGAGTAGTCACTTTGCGAGTAGTGGAGCGCGCTCGGTGGGTGGAGCGGCACGAGGTGCACAAACCCTCGGCAAGCTCGGCACGAGCACTCGAAGACGCTGCGAGGGAGACGGGCGGCAGGCAAGGAGCAAAGGCGCGGGGGCAGCAGCCGCAGGAGGGAAGCAAGGCCAACAGATATCGATACGGCTGCTCCCCAGCCTTCTTCGGGGGTGCGCTCTGACCAGAAACTCGGGGCCAACCCAGCTACAGGAGGCCGAAAATCGTCGCAAACGAGGCAAGGGTAGCGGTATCGGTTCAGGAGAGCTCAGGCTTTGGGGCCGTGACTCGGGCCTCTGGCAGCCGTTCGAGACGATTCTGACACCGCCAGAACGCCCTCGACGAGGCGCAGCTATGGAAACCGCCCTGGGCCCCGACGACGATCGAACAACATAAGAGAACAGTAGGAAAGTACAGGAAAGCCGCAGATTGAGGGGCAACGATCGGGGGAGCCTGGCATACGGGGGGAATGCACCGACCTGGAATCGGCGATACATCGCCGATAGAATGGAGGTAGGCCCCCGATAGCGAAACCGCACTCACCTGGGCGGGGTGGGGCTATCCGACCCCTATCGGCGACCAATGGGCGAATTGGGGGTCGATGCCTCCCCCCCTGTGCCTATCCCCCCCCTGTCGATGCCCCTGACAGGCCCCTCTTCGGGGACGAGGAGGAGAAGGAGGAGGAGGAGCCCCTCCTCGGGGAGGAGGAGGAGGAGGAGGAGGAGGAGGAGAAGAAGGAGGAGGAGGAGCCCCTCCTCGGGGACGAGGAGGAGGAGGAGGAGGAGGAGGAGGAGGAAGAGGTGGTGGTGGTGGTAGCCCCTCCTCGGGGACGGCAGCGGGCCGAACGCCGCGCGGTCTGGCGGCGGCGCCGGCGGGCCCGTGCGCACCAAGCTTCGCGGGGGCGCCGCGCTGCCGGAGTTCGCCGTCTCCGTGGCCGGCGGCGGGGACAGGGGCCCGGAGCGAGCCGTGCCGCACGGCGGCGCAGCGGGGCCCGTGCGGACGTGGGCCCTCGCGGAAGAGACGGCGGCGGCCACGGCGACAGCGGCGAGCGAGGCGGCGACGACGACGACGACGACGACGACGACGACGACGACGACGACGACGACGTTCGCACGGAGGCGACGACGGCGACGGCGACGGCCACGGCGACGGCGGCGGCGGCGGCCGTCGCCGAGAGGGTGCTCCTCGGCTGAGGCTTCGGGGGGAGGGGCGCCGCTCAGACCCCCCGGCGCCCTTGCGGATCGATCGGGCGCGGGGAAATCTCGTGTCAAGGTGAGATCGTGAGCTGAAGGCCCTGGATTCGTTGAGGTCGTGCCAGCTTCCTTAGGCGGGCCTGGGCGTAACAGCCAACCGACGAGCCCATCAATGAACGAGCCAAGTCGAAAGCCGCACGGAGCGGTAGTGAATCAGCCAACTAGATGCCCAGCTCACCCATCACAGGGGGATTACAGGTAAAGGATGTGGGTGTACAAGAAGGAGTGCTAAGGGTCGGCTCGATCTGCGCGCGCTATACACACTTGCGAGGTCCTGACATGAGTGGCACCACTTTGCTCTGTATGTCGATAGTTGCCGATCATATGCTCACACACACATGCATATGCACATATATACTAATACAAAAGCATACAACTATACAACTATATAACTTTACATGCATGCATACATACATACATGCATGCATACATGCATGCATGCATGCATACATCCATACATACACACATACATACATACATACATACATACATACATGCATACATGCATGCATGCATGCATACATACGTGCACACATACACACACCCATACATACATACATACATGCATACAACCATACATACAGACATACATACATACATTTCATTTCACTACATTACATTACATTACATTTCAATACATTAAATACACACATACAAACAATGCAGACATGCATGCATGTATCCATATATATAGACACAAACATACCACACATACAGACACACGTACATACATACATGCATACATACATACATATCTACACACATACATGCACGCATGTATGTATGCATACATACACATACACACATACACACATACACACGTACACACGTACACACATACATACCACACATACAGACACACGTACATACATACATACATACATACATACATACATACATACATACATACATACATACATACATACATACATACACACATACACACATACATACATACATACATACATACATACATACATACATACATACATACACATGCACACACTCGGAGGTTGGAACGGAGAGCCCCCCCATCAGGATATCGGTTTCGGGTTCGTGTTCGTGTCGTGCGGGCGAAGCAAAGCTGCGCACGAGAAGAATGATGCCGCCGTGGCTAGGGGGGCTGTGGAGCCGGTTGTCCGCCCCTCCCCCCCAGTGCGCGGTGGTGGGCTGGGGTGCCTCGTCGGTGGCTCGTCGGTGTCCCGTCGGTGGCGCGGGGTGTTCCGACGGTGGCTCCAGGTGTCCCGCCGTGGTGTCTCCATGATAGCTCATGGGATAAGTTGTTGTGAGATCGATCGTAAGATCGATAGTGAGATCGACTGCGTGATCGATTAGGATCGTGAGATCGACCCTGGGTTGCCCCGTCGGTGCCGCGGGGTGTCCCGTCGGTGGCGCGGGGTGTTCCGACGGTGGCTCCAGGTGTCCCGCCGTGGTGTCTCCATGATAGCTCATGGGATAAGTTGTTGTGAGATCGATCGTAAGATCGATAGTGAGATCGACTGCGTGATCGATTAGGATCGTGAGATCGACCCTGGGTTGCCCCGTCGGTGCCGCGGGGTGTCCCGTCGGTGGCGCGGG